GCCCCCGATGGCGTCACTTCCTGGAGGCTATCGCCACGCCTCTTTCCCCAGGACCTGCGGGCGTCGGCCCGCTCGGCGCATGACGTTTCGCGCGGCCGGGACCGCTATTGGCTGTGAGCCTCTCCTCCGCGGGTCGTCGGTCTCCCCTGCCCTCGACCCTTGCTTTTCACTTCCCGGGCGCTCAGACTCAAGTCACCCCTCCCTCCGGGTAAAATGCAGCGACCCTGAGAAGCCCGGACTGCTTCTGGGCCGGAGCCCTGGGAGGCCCGCTGGTTGTGGTCCCTCCTGTGTCGCTTTCGGTGTGACGCCCTGGCCGAGTCATTTCTTCATTGACTTATCTGTGCTTCCCTGGCAGCCAGAGAATATGTGAATGACACATGAGTAATGTGGTGTTGACCCAGTAGTGTACTGATAAGTATTGACTCGGCGTGGGGACAGGGAAGGAATGGATGCAACTATAACAGGTGCCTAAATTCATCGTAAATGTTACTGAGGATGCTTAGCACACAATTTACAAATAATAACAATATACAATAGCAAATTCCCACATAATTAATTGATGCTCACAGAATGCTTTAACTGATGTTTTCCAAACTCTTCTAACGAGTATAACTGACATGTATATTGGTTGGTATTTTCGGTATGTGAATGTAAGAGGAAACTGAAAAGACAAAGACATCTTAACTGTCAATGATGAGAGAGACTGTTGAATTGAAAAGCAGTTTTCAAATACTGAAAGGATATTTCAGTATTTTTTGTGCTATTCATGATATAAAGGCTACTGACATAACTTTAAGTCTGAATGGTTTACATATTTCCTATCACTTTTAATAAATCTATATAATAAATCAGGCCCTGATTTGTCGCATTTGCCCATTTCCCTGGGGCAAATACTCCCAGCGTAGTGAATTTCCATCTACCAACAGAATTAGGGAGACAAGAGCAGTAGCATTCACAATGTACATACAGTAAAAACCCCACGGGCACGGGTAACAGAAAATTTATTAGAAAATGATGATTTAGTATGTTTTAATATTTAATTCTAAGTTTGAATAATTTAATTTTTAATAGTGGCTATGTTTAACAACTGACTTGCAAAAAGCACTGAAAATTTTAGCAATTGGCATTCACAAAGCTGTTTGAGCCAGCTCCACAGCACCACAGCACCACAAGATCTGTTTCCTCACCTGTAAACTAGGAATAAGATTGCTGCTTTGCTTGCAGACAGTTGCAGAGATCCAGTAAGATCAAGCTTGTTGTTTTGAGGGGGTGGGCAGGAGCAGGGAGACCAGTTAGGAAATCCTGTTAGTCATCCGTGAACGATAATGAGGGATGCAAGGAATAAGGAGGAAGCACCTGCCAGCAGAACTTAGCAACTGTAGTAGCCAAGAATGCTTTGGGAGTGAGAGGGTCTGAGAACCAGCCCTGCAGTCAGAGACCTTTGACAAATGATAATTTGTCCATGGCCTATAATTAGAGCCACTCATGATTTTCCATTAGTCTTACATTAGAGCCAGAACTTCTTAAAAAGGTCTAACCTTCTTAAGGCGTCTATGGGGCCCAGTGTGATCTAACCCCTGCCTCTCTCAGACCAGACCGCACCTCTTACCACGCTCCCCCTCGTTTTATTCCCCTGCCCTTCTGCTCCCCTTGCATCAGACTCCTACCCGCGTAGCTGTTGCATAAGCTACTCCCTTGTACTTGGAAGCTTTTGCTCTCTGTGCTTAGTAAACTCCTACTCATCCTTCAGATCGAACCCACTCCTCACTACCGCAGGGAAATCTCCCTACCCTGGTAATTCCTCCTCAGCAAGCTCCAAGACCATACCTCTGTTGAACTTTATTACATACATATAATTTGTCATCTAATTGTTGGATTACTTAATCAAAGCCTATTTACTGAGCTACAATGTTTGATTTTTATCTCTCATGGGCTCTCCAGTACCTGCTACCGAGTAGGTTCTTGGTATATAAGCATTGCATGGTTGTTCAACCTCAGGTCTTGTAAGAACCTCCTAATATAATTTCATCTGTCATTATGCACAATAGAATTCATATCAAAAAACTGAAGCTCAGAGTTATTTGCCTAAGGTCACACATCTTCAAAAAGGTCCACTGGAATTCTCCAGAGACTACCCTCTCTTCCTCAGCTACCTGTCTGGATTGCTGTAAGATCATATTCCCTTCCCCTTCCCCTACCCCCACCAGGCCTAAGAAGGCCAAGGAAGATCCCTGGCTGCTCCTGAGAACTCTGGCCTGAGGACACATTACTCCATGAATGCAAGTTCTGCAGTTCTGCAACGCCCTCTGCTGTTCAGTTACTTTTTTGCTCTGGAGGAAAGCTGGCGATGTCTGGGGTACTCCATCTGCCCAGGCACAGGGGGAACCCAGACAGGCAATTTCTAAGGCAGGGCAAGGAATGCCCCTTTCACCATTTCCTTAAATACCCAGCTCTGTATCCCTGTTCTTTTGGGGTGAGGGAGGAATATTGAAAACTAAGCTCCACACAAAGGAAGCATTTCTTTGGATTTTATGTTTACACATCCCTCTTTCACATAGGGTGTAGAAGTAGTCCCTGCAGAGGTAGGGCCTTAGTTTAAAATGTCTTGAACTATGTAGCTGTAGACATCTGGAACAGCAGAGGTCTCACGGCATGGCAGTGCAGAGTGAGATGGGAGACAAGTCCCCGCGTGTGCGCGTGCATGAATTCCATCCCTGGCCAGGAAGGTGACCCACAGGGCGCAGCAGACCTCTCCTGACCTGCCTGCTGTTCTCAGTAGTGTATTTCAGTACATCTGTCTGTTCTGCTCCCCACTCTGTCTCTGGTGAATCCTCTCACCCCTGCACCTCTGGCCTGTACCCCAGTTCTGTATGCATAAATAAATAAATCTTTTTTTAAAATCCTGTCATTTCCTGGATGCATGACCAAAAGCAGATAGCGAAACATCTTTGAACCAGTGTTTCATTTGTAAAAATGTCATGAAGGCCCTCCCTGGTGGCGCAGCGGGTTAAAGCACAGCACTGAGAATCTAAAGCCGCTTCCTCATGAGTTTGATTCCCGCCTGCCCCGGAGGTGACCACATGGCGTGGCAGACCTCTCCTGACCTGCCCGCTGCTCCCCTCAGCAGTGTACTTCGTTGATCTGCCTGTTCTGCTCCCCACTCTGTCTCTGGTGAAGCCTCTCACCGCCCCTGAGCCTCTGGCCTGTACCCCAGTTTTGTATGCACAAATAAATAAATAAATCTTTAAAAAAAATCATCATGAATAATCCCCTTGACAAGACTGTTGTGGGGATAAATGAAAACTTACATGTCAAAGTGCTTTATATGTAGGTAAATACTAAAACTCTGTACTGGATATCAGTTATTGTGATCAAAAAACTTGGGGGGGAAGCTACTTATTATTATGTCTTTGACAGGTGTGCTTTGCTGGTCTTCTAACCCCCCCCCGCGTGGGGGTGGGGACCTGGAGACTAGGCTGTAGTTGCGGTGGTATAGGGTGAGGGTGGTGACTTGTCCGGGCGTTGTGCAGGGGAAGGGGGGCTCCGAGGTGTGAGTCTCCATTCATAGTGAGAGTGATGTGATCTTGGGTGAGTCTGAGCCTCCCTGTCTGCATCTGCGGAGGGAGATGAGAGTGGTCACCATATGCAGTGGTGGGGAAGAGTCATTGGGGCAAGGCGCCTAAGAGACGCTTTATAAACTCTCAGTCTGGACAAAGTTGGTGTGGTTCTATTAGGCTCTCTTGCCCACCCTCCCATCCCTGATTTCAAAGTCCAGTTTCTCCGAACAGTGTCGCGGGGTACGGGCAGCCTGAGTAGACTGCCAGGAGAGGCAGCTTGGCCCCATCACCCCCGCTGCAAGTGCTTGGGGAGGCTGAGTGAAGCAAAGCAGTGCCCTGCAGAGAGAAGCTGCTCCTCTGGGGTTGCTATGGCACCCTGTCCTGGATTTACGTCTCTCCTAAGGGAGCAAAGGGCAGAGGGAGGGGGAGAGAGGGAGCGGATGCCAGGTCCCTTCATCCCCCCTCCCATCTAGCTCTCTCTGGGGCAGAAGCCAGTAGGTAAGTAATGGGGGAGGAGCCCTCTGAGGGGGAGGGAAGAGCGTGCGCCCAGGGTGTTTGGGATGGGGGACACAGAGAGAGGCGGCAGAGCCCATGCCGAGTCCAGAAGCCAGCTGATGATGTTACAGGGAAGAAAAAAAGGGCACGGGAGCAGGTGTATGGAGGGGGGGGTGTGGGGGGAAGGCAGAGGGAGGGAGAGAGAAGCCATCTGGCAGCAGTCCCAGACTGCCACCACCTCTGCCTGGGCTCTCCTGAGAGAGCTGTCTTCAGTCCCCAGGGCAGCCTGGACTCGGGTCCCTGAGAGCTGTCCTGACCATGGGCACCAGTGCGGTGGCTGTGCCCCCCTCAGTCTGGGGGCTGCTGGGATGCTGTTTCCTTTGTGACTGGGCTCTGGGGGGTCCACAGCCCCTCCGCTCTCTGCCCCCACTGTCCTCCCAAGTCAAGCCAGGATCTGAGCCCAGGTGGGTGCCCCAGGAGGGTGCAGAGGCAGCCCTGGCTTTTCTTTACTCTGGAGATGCCCAGCAGCTGTCCGGGGCTAACTGCACTGAGCGCTACGAAGCCCAGGGTGCAGGAGCCCAGTCAGGGCCCCCCCCAGTCCTATGGAAAGCAGGGGTCACCCTTGCCCAGACTGCCAATTTCCTCAACATGCTGCTCCAAGCCAACGACATCCGCGAGTCCAGCGTGGAGGAGGACATGGAGTGGTACCAGGCGATCGTCCGCAGCGTGGCCGAGGGAGACCAGAGGGCATATCGGGCTCTGCTGACCTTTAACCCTCCACCTGGGGCCAGCCGCCTACAGCTGGCCCTGCAAGCCACCCGAATGGGAGAGGAGATCGTCCTTCAGGACTTGTCCAGGGACAGACTACAGGAGGAGAGCCCAGCCGTAGGCCCAGGCACCCCCGCTCTGCAGAAGCGGGTATTGATCAATGATCTAGGGAGCCTTGGAAGTCCCAAGTGGCCACGGGGGGATAGTTATGTGGGGGACGTGCGGCATGTAAGGTTGTCCCCCCCCTTCCTGGAATGCCAGGAGGGCCGGCTCCGTCCAGGCTGGCTTATCACACTCTCTGCCACCTTCTATGGACTCAAGCCGGACCTCAGCCCAGAGGCCAGGTAAGTGGGCTGGTGCAGGACTAGATGCTCTTGTGCAGGTGGGGCATAGGGGCACAACTTAGCCAGGTGTGCATGGTATACCACTTGGCATACACATGTGTGTCAGGTGCACAGATGTATATATTTGCATTCAGCTGTGTGTATTTGCAGCGAACTCTGGGAATCTGTAACTGCACTAACACATCCAGGTGTGGGTGTGCACACTGTGTATGAATCAATCCATGTACACAGAGGAAAGCACCTACAGGAATGTGCAGATATTCAGCGGCAGCTGGGCACAAGTCTCAGCCCCAGACCTGAGTAGTGGGTGGAAGGCAGGAGAGGTCGTGGTTGAATGGCAGTGACAACCCTGCACCAGGTGTCTGGGAGAGGCCAGGTGTCTGGGCACTCCAGGAGTTAACCCCACTGCTCGCTAATAATCGAGAGCTGCAAAGCGAGGCTCCTTCGAGGGAAGGCCATTCTTGGGGAGAGGCTAGGAACCGCTCCCCTTTCTGTCCAGAAGTTGACTGTGTCCCTAGGCTCAGGCCCAGGGCTACAGGCTCACATCAAGTAGGTCCCTCTCAACCTCTCGGTCCTGCACATGCTGCCCCAGGGGCTGGTGATAGTCCCTAAGTGACTGACTTCTTGCCTCAACTAGCGTAAACTATAACTGTGATTCCTGGCGGAAAGGCGGCAGCAGACGGGCACAGCACTGCCGGGCATTCAACAATCAGCATTGCTTTCCCAGCTGTGTCCCCATTCATTGCCCCCGGAGAGGTTCCCTGCAGGCTGCCAGACTCCTCGCCAGCAATCTCCCCACTCAGCCCAAAGCAGGGTGGGAACCTCCTTTGCTGTGATCAATTCAGGTCTGATTTGGGGAGGGTGAGGGGGTGTTTAGTAACTAAGCTCTGTGTGTGTGTGTGTGTGTGTACAACAGTGGGGAGGTGTGAAAATACAGATAGCTCATCAAAGTTCCAGCTCCCATATGTCTTGATATGTTGATAAGAACCACGAAATGATAGGATGTTGAAAGTTGAGCGAGGGGGATGCAATCTAGGAGTGAATTTGTTGCACAGTGAGGGTCAGTAGCACTAGAGAAAGGAAATGCATGTGTATGCTCTTGTCACCACACTGCTGTCACAGTGCTAAGGTGTGCAAAGCTCACATTGCTCCATAGCCAAGTCCTGCTAACTGTCAATTCACTGCCCTAGGGGGCAGGTGCAGATGGACATAGACCTTCAGAGCGTGGATGTGAATCAGTGTGCCAGCGGCCCAGGCTGGTACTCCAACACACACCTGTGTGATCCCAACAGCACCCAGGTAAGAATAAGGTCCAGCTTACTGTCTCATTTCCCATCACTGCCACCGTCCACCTCCCAGGACAGCTGACAAAGGCACACCTGCCTCTCAGGATTTCAGGGGAGTCCCCTTTTGATGAGAAAGAGATAAGATACCAGCTCACTTACAGCCTATCTCCATCCCCCGCCTGGGAGAGCCACCCTCATTTCTTTGGACTCTCAGGTGCTTCCTTGTCCCCTGTCCCTTCCAGGATCCTTTCCCAGGTGCCCCAGGCCCCTCCCCAGGGCCACCTTCAGAGACCCTATTAATTGTCTGCTTCCTTCCATGGATCATATTCTCCATGTCAACAGAGTGCTGGGCTCCTCCCTCCGGCTTGTGAAAGACACTCTGTCGGTGATTGTCAAAATAAGGGAACTTGCAGGTAGAGGTGTAGGAGGCATCTGAGCAAAGGAGGAACTCAACGAGCTCTGGAACTTGCGAAGCTGATGGGACCCAGGCCAGATGGGGGCAGAATCAAAGCCACAGATGTGAGAAAATCTGGATAATGGAAAGCACTGACTGATAATCCTAAAAGCCCAGTTCTGGGAAACTGGGCAGCCAGAGAACTAATCCAGGCCATGGTTACACTAATTGCATGCTTGTTCCTGAGCTGAACTGAAGCCAAGGCGAGCCCTGCAGGTTTCTGGAAGGTGGGGGTGGGGGAGTGGTTTGGGCATCTGCTCTTCTTCAGGCATGTATTTGGAGCTTTAAGTCCGGAGATGGAGAAGGCTCCCATTATCCACTTTTACATCCAGCCACCCTCACGTCTCCAGCACACACATACCTGATTGTGCAGTTTGGCAGGAACAGAACCCTTCCCAGTGAGCCAGGCATAAGAGGAAGCTGGACCATGGTTTCAGAGGCACCATGGTCTAGCCCTCCTTAGCCTTCCTGGTGAAGTTAGTTCCTGGGTAGGTCACCCAAGATCAACCTCTCCCTTTGCCCCTCAGAAGGCATTCCTAGTCTCTTCCTATGGCCAATATGGCCTCATCCATGCATTCAAGTCCCCAGCTCTGAGCCTGCTTTGTCCCCAGCTGAGCAAATTATCAATGGGTGGAGGTGGAATAAAAAGCTGGCCTTGGCATCCCACCAGCCTGGCATTACCCTGGCATTAGGGCTGGGGAAAGCAGTCCTATGCTTAGCCAGATGGAGGAAGCTGCCCCCCCACGGAGGCCTTTTCAGCCCGCCTGTGTGCCAAAGAGGAAGGCTTATGGGGACCCTTTGAAGCAAGATGTGACCGGGTTTGGAGTTCTCCCTACTTTCTCCTCTCCCAAGCACCCGGCTCTAGCAACAGCTGGGCACTGGGACATGAGACCTGTGAGGTTCCCATCACAGGGCCATGAACAAAAGGGCCATCTGTCCTGGGACTCTGCTTGGGGGACTGTTTGAGAAGAGAGGGAGCAGTGGGGGATAAAAATGGGGTTTCCAGAGTGGAAAGGGTTCCACGGCTGGGGTTCCCCTGTGTGGACCCACGTGCAGGAAGGTAAATGGGCACTCCACCTCTTCCAGGGAGATGTCCCATGTGGACACCTGTTGTGTGTGTCCTTCCTACAGTGTATCGCCCTGGAGGGCCGGGGCTTTGTCCTTGGCCGCTACCTCTGCCGTTGCCGACCTGGCTTCTACGGGACAAGTCATTCTGGGGGTACGTGTCTGTGAGGGCCGGGCATGACTTTTCTAGGCTGGGCTGGTTGGAGATGGCATCTGGGGAAGAAAAGCGGGTTGGGGAGAGACAATGGGAAGAAATGTGGGGAAAGGACAGAAGGTGAGAGAGAATCAGGAAAGGTAGGCAGAGCCCAACTTGGGGCATCTGTGCCTTCTGAGAAAGAGCCCATACCATGCTGACGTGCTGCGTGTTGACACGAGCCCTGGCCTGACATCACTTCTCCTGCGTCCCCTGGGGGGGACCGGCTATCTCATTTCTCCCTTCCAAAGTCTCAAGGGCTGCAGACCACAGAAGGGCAGGCAGGGGGCTGAGGTGAGAGAAGGCTGGGATCTCGGGATACAACCACTTCCCTCTCCCTGCCCCATCTTGTTCTTTGTAGGGTCAGAAGAGGGCACCACCCAGCCTACCGGGCAGCTTGGTTCCCTGCGAAGCAGCACGGAGAGGCTGCTGCGGTGCCGGCCGTGTCCCGAGGGCTGCGCCAGCTGCTTGAGCACCACCCCCTGCCTGGTGGAGGAGGCCTTGGTGCTGCGGGTGCTGGTGCTGGCCTGCCAGGCCTGCTGCGTGCTGGCTATCGTCCTGAGCATGCTGCTCTCCTACCGCTGCCGCCGGAGAAAGGCAAGGAGGAAGGCCCACTGCTCATGAATCCCACCTATTTGGGGTCTCCAGCATCAGCTGGACATCAGGGACTACCTAACACTAGCACTCAGGAGAAGTGGCATTTGGTCTTAATTCTTTTTTTTTTTTTTTAAGATTTATCTATTTATTTACACATACAAGAACCGGGATACAGGCCAGAGGTGCAGGGGGTGAGAGGATTCATCAAAGACAGAGTGGGGTGCAGAACAGGCAGATGGAGGAAGTACACTGCTGAGGGGAGCAGCGGGCAAGACAGGAGAAGTCTGCTGCACCATGTGAGTCAGCTCCCTGGCCGGGGCTCAAACTCGCGCTGCAGTGGCTGCGGACAGCTTCATAGTGCCGCGCTTTAACTCCTGTGCCACCAGGAAGAGCCTGGTCTTAATTCTTAATCTTACTACTTAATTCTTAATCTAACTCGGTGGGTGACATTAGGCATGTGACTCCCCTGTTTCCTCTTCTGTAAAGTGAAGACAGCAGACTTAAAAATGCACTGTGTAGGCACCAAGGAGATGATCTGTACGCTCACGCAGCTTCCAGTGGAGGGAGGAAGCAGACACGTCAATAAAAACACAGGCAGGGCTGCGGAGGGAAGCAGATTGCAGCAACAGCTCAGAGAAGGGATCCAGTCGTCCTGCCTGAGATGGAATGGGAAGGACTTCCCAGTCATTTCAGCCAGATCTGGAGGAATTTTACAGGGCAAAGAAGGGGTTATTGAGATGGGCGAGAGCAGTCTGACCCAAAGCAAAGCTTGAAGCAGTGCCTGACAGCCCTTCTAGCTCCTGCAACCTCTGGTTTGAGCCCAGGCCTGTAACTAGGCCCAGCTGGGGCTGGGAGCGGCATGGGGCTTGGCTGGCAGTCAGTCACGTGAAACTTTGGCCTCGGCCAGGCTCAGTCCAGTGGCATTAAGAGCCTGTGCTACGTAGGGGGGCCATGGTGATGGTTGCAGGGTGGGGGGATCCTTCATCCAGAGCCATTGAGTGACCCTAAAACAGGCCTGAGACCCTCCTATACCCCTGTCTGGGCTTTGTCTTCCTTACATGCCTCTTTCCTGTGTTCACAGAGGATCCGGGCATCTGGCATTGTTCTGCTAGAAACCATCCTTTTTGGGTCCCTGCTGCTCTACTTCCCTGTGAGTTTATGGCTATAAGCTGACTCCCCCTCCCAGAATCCCCCAACATCCCAACCTGACACCCTCTTAATTTCAGAGTCCTTTTTTTTCTACCTCTCTTTGGGGATTTCAGAGACCTCAAATCCACCCCCATTCATAGCCACAAATGGGAAACTAGTCTAGTGAGCTTTGCCACCAAATAGTCCTGGGTTAAAAGAGGTCTGTTATCGGCTGTGTGGCTTAGAACAAGTTAGCCAACTTCTCTGATACTTAAGTTGCTCCACTGCAGAATGGAGGTGGTGATGCCTCCATTGCAAGGCTGTCAGGACCAGCAAGGTGAATGGTACAGGCCTCACACTTGGCGGAAGTGCAGTGCCGAGCAGCTCTGCTGGTCTTGCCCCACCAGGTCTTCATCCTGTACTTGAAGCCCAGCATATTCTGCTGCATCGCTCTCCGCTGGGTCCGCCTGCTGGGTTTCGCCATCGTCTACGGCACCATTGTACTCAAGCTTTATAGGTAGGTGTGTGGCTGGCCTTGCCCTTGCACTGCTCATTCCAGGCCGCCCCTGCTGGGTTATGGAGCGGAGTTCTTCAGCACCAGACCCTCACTAGCTCCCCTCCCCTGCACCAGCAGGACCCATCACTATGGTCATTCCCTCCAACAGGCCGTAAGAGGACCTGACCCATGGAAGGGTCGGGTCCGCTGGTGTGTGGAGGAGAGGGAAGCAATGCAGAAGCCAGGTCTGGCCTGCTCTTGCTGCCCCTCCACCACCGCGCTCTAACCCTTGTAGAGTGCTCCAGATGTTTCTGTCTCGAACGGCACAGCGAGGGCCCCCCCTGAGCAGTGGACGTTTGCTTCGGCGTCTGGGGCTGCTCCTGCTGCTGGTGCTGGGCTTCCTTGTAGTGTGGACAGCAGGAGTCCTGGAGCAAGGCCAGCACACGCCTCTGGTGACCCAAGGCCACACTCCTGCCGGCCGCCGCTTCTACCTCTGTCACCATGGCCACTGGGACTACATCATGGTTGTGGGTGAGTCGCTTCTGCTGGGCACTGCGTCCAGCCTCGCTCGACCCCAGCCCAGCACCTCCGTGGGTCCTCTGCCTTGGTCTCCCAGCGCGGTACCTGGACCCTGGTCCATGATCCCCCAGCACCCCCTACAAAGAAAGCGGTGCCTGACTGCTGAGGTGGCACCCAGCTGTCTCTCCCCTCCACCCTACAGTCGAGATGCTGCTGCTGTGCTGGGGCAGCTTCCTCTGCTATGCCGCCCGGGCTGTCCCCTCGGCCCTCCACGAGCCACGCCACCTGGGCATTGCCCTGCACAAGGAGCTGCTGCTCTCTGCTGCTTTCCATGTGGCCAGGTAAGGACAGGCCCACCGACCTGACCGTGACTCTCCCACCTAGCCCTCCTCACCTCTCCCAGGTGAGTGTGAGTGTCCCCACCCCACAGCCACCCTTGCAGCACCGCTGTGTCTCAGCAAGGAGAGGAAGTCACCCGTCATCCTACCACACAGACTCCCTTCTTACCCCATGTCTCCCCCAAACCCAAGAAGGGGACATAGCCCCCCACATACTCCTAAGTCCTTCTCACTCCTAAGCCAATCTCCAGCACCCCTCTCCCTCCTCTCCACACAAACTCACTTCCCCTCACCTTCTTCCCCCCACTCCCCAGCCACCCAGCTGCAGGCCAGCTGAGCCCAGACAGGGGCCGGCCTGGCAGAGGCAGAGCCGTGCCCAGGGCAGTTCAGACCAGAGCCGTGAGCAGGTCTGTGGTGCAGGCAGCGGAAGAGGCCAGCTGGAGTAGTCTGCAGGCGGTGCGGGCCCTGGATCCTGGAGAAGCCGGGAGAGGGGTGCCCGCCGCACCCTCACCCAGCATCCCTAGCGATCAGCACTGGTGAGCAGTGAGACCTGAGGGAAGAGGCTCTGCCACCCACCATTCACGTTTCCTCTCCCACAGGTTTGTGCTGGTTCCCTCTCTACACCCAGACTGGACCCTCCTCCTCTTCTTCTTCCACACCCACAGCACCGTCACCGCCACTCTGGCTCTGATCTTCGTCCCTAAGGTGAGTCTTCCCCTCCTGGAAGGAGGCAGGTCCCAGCCCCTTCCTAAAGGCCTCTGTGGGGGGCTGCGAGGAAGCTGTTACCCACCTCCGATGCCCGAGCAAATGCCCTAAGAGGAAGGCTGGAGGGATCCTGTGACACTGTTGGAAGGTCAGCGGAGTCCAGAAATCCACTTCAATGTAGCTACAGGGATAAAGGGGACACTGAAGGACATGGCTATGAATGATAGGGTACCCCACCCCCACCCCAATGCCTGAGCTAGAGAAAATCAGAAGGAAGGATGTGGGGGAGTAAAACTCATTCAACTGTCAGAACTCCAAATCAGAGATCCCCAAAGGAAAGTCACGGTGCCTTGGGCTGTGGGAGGAGGTGGCCAGGGTGAGTGTCCTGCAATCATGCCCGCCCTGGCAGTTCCGGAAGCCTGGAGCTCCTTCCCGGGAGGAGATGGTGGGCGAGGCGTATGAGGACCAGCTGGACCTGCAGTGCTCCGGCTCCTACCTCAACAGCAGCGTCACCTCCGCCTGGAGTGAGCGCAGCCTGGACCCCGGAGACATTCGGGTGTGTGTTGTCTTCCTTACTCCTATACTTCTTTTTTTTTTTTAATTTATTTATTGAACGGGAGTACAAGGGGCTGTGAGCAGACTCACCAGAACCAGAGTGGGGAGCAGACAGGCAGATGGAGGAAGTACATTGCGAGGGCAGCATCAGGCAGGCAGGAGAGGTCTGTGTTGCCATGTGGGTCCCCTCCGGGGCAGGCGGGGATCAAACTTGCACTGAAGCGGCCTTGGCTAGCTCGCAGTGCTGCACTTTAGCCTGCTGCGCCACCAGGGAGGGCCCTCCTTTTATACTTCTATGGTCAGGGCAGGAGCGTACCCTTTCCACCCCCTGGCCCCAGCCTTCCCTCTAAGACCTGCTTCCCCATTTCACCATCACACTAAGCTCTACGCTTGACTCTTCAACAGAGGCCATATACCACCCAAGGGGAAAGGCCCCAAAAGCCCCAGAACTCAGATCCCTGTGCTCCACACAGTGGGCAAGATGGAGGCCGGGTAGCGAATGGAGTGCTGACACCAGGTGCCCGCCCGTCACACAGCGGGGGCATCGTGAGGGCCAGACTAAGAACGCTCAGTCACCTACACACTGGGGCGTTGGTGACCCGAGAGCCGAGAGCCCCACTGAGCAGGCAGACCTGGCAGCCATGGTGACCAGGGATGTCCATACACGGATCCTTTCCCTGGACCTGGAAAATCTTCGAGAAAGGGGAGTTCTTCCTGAGTCTTAAACCAGGAGAAAATCCTCTCTTGTTTTTCTGCTTAAGTGCATCATTGTTCTCATGGACCCTGAGAAAAGGCCCAGTGGATAAGAAACAGGAGACCTGCGGCTTAAGCCCATCATGTCATGCAACCTGAGATGTGGGAACGACCCCAGGAAACCATCTGCCTGTACTGTGCCTCTCCCCTGACTCCTACATCTCCCAGCTCCCCCTTGTCCAAGCTGCCTCTGCTTCTCACCCTCCTACACCCCCTTACCTTCTAAGCCCTGCCGCCCCTGCCTTTTGCCCTCTGGGTGTGGGCTCAACTGAGACCTTCAATTCAGCAGCGAGGCCAGGGTGGTGCAGTGCTGCAGCAAAGGCCCCTCCATCCTCCAAGTTTTGAGACAACAGTCAACCTACTCCCCCTATGCTAACTCTGGAAGCCAAGGGATCAAACACTTTCACAGCCCATTTCATTATTTCCACCCAAATATGGCCCTTCTCTGCCCCCTTGTCCATCAGTCTCATAGACCCCTCCCAAGGAGGCTGAGAGGGCAACCTGTCATGGTAACTTTATAGAAGAGGCAGTGATCAGAGCGGTCAAGAAAATAACCCCAAGCCGCATGATGGTGCAGCAGCCTCAGACCCAGATTTCTGTGCCCCCAGCAGGCCATTCCCCGCCAGCGCACTGAGCTCTAGTCAGGGGAGAGGCAAATACAGGCAGATGGTTTCCTAGAGTGTGCACACTGCATCCTGGGAGCTGAGCGGCTAGGCAGGAACTAGGTTGTCACTGGTCCTGCAGAATGGAAAGGTGAATCTTGAGTTTCAAGCACAGGGATGGGACATAACTTGATGGGAAAGAGATCCCCCAGGGGAAATAATCTAAATGAAGTCCAGGGGAGAACAGTGCAGCCAGGGATAGAAAGAGCTGTTGGCCCACCTCAGTCAACTCTGATTTTCTCTCCCCTCTCCCGCCCCCAGGATGAGCTGAAGAAGCTCTATGCCCAGCTGGAGGTCCATAAGACCAAGGAAATGGCTGCTAACAACCCCCACCTGCCCAAGAAGAGGGGCAGCTCTGGCCAGGGTCTGGGCCGCTCCCTCATGAGGTGTCTGGCTGAGGTCCCTGAGGCCCTGGTCCGGCAGCACTCCCGGGACTCGGGCTCCCCAGGGCACAGCAGCCTGCCAGGCTCCTCCCTCCACAGGCTCCTCAGCTCCAGTCTCCAGGAACCCCAGTGGAAACCAGCCCTCTGCAAGTCCCGCAGCACCTATGAGCATGACCACGGCAGGGACCCGCCTCTCCTCGACTCACTGCTGAGGAGGAAGCCGGCCAAGAAAGCTTCAAGAGGGAGCAGGGAGTCGGTGGAGGAGCCCCCTGTTCTGGGCTTCAAGTCTGCCAGCGCCCACAATCTGACAGTGGGAGGGAAGCTTCCCAGGGCCCCACTCACCTCCCTGCAGAAGTCGCTCAGCGTCATGGCTGGCTCCAGGGAAAAGGCCTTAATGGTCGCCGGCCAGGCCTACCTAGAGGAGACCTACAGACAGGCAAAGGAGCCAGAGGAGAGAAAGACAGCAGAGGTGGCCATGGCCAGTCCAGTGCAGAGGCCATCAGCCAGGAGGCTTGTGCAATCTCCATGGGCTCCCTTGTCAGCCCCCCCTTCCCCTGCCAAAAGCAGCAGTGGGGATAGCCCCCCTCCCTCTGGGAAACTTCAAGAGAACAATGTGGAAAGACGACCCCCCCCACCCACCCAGCACCAGGTCTCCACTCCCATCTTGGCCTTGTCTGGGCCCTGCCTAGGAGAGCCATGTATGCTGCCTCCCACCTCCACCTTGGCTCCAGCTCTGATGTCAGTCCCAGCCCCAGTCCCCACCCTGGCACCACGCCCAGCACCCGCCCATGGTCCCAGCATACTCACCTACATCTGCCCCTGGGAGAATGCAGAAATCAAGAAAGAAAATGTGGCTCCAGAGGGCCCCTCAGAGCCAGAGCGAGGCAAGCCCTCACTGGCCCCTGGTCGGGCCAGGCTCTGGAGAGCCCTCTCCACTGCCCCAGAGAAAAGGGGAGGTGGGGAGAGTGGGGTGCACACAGCGGATCTCCAGACTAAAGAGGACAGGCCCAAGATCATCTGTAAATCCCACAGCCTCAAGACCCCTGCTCAGCAGAGGTCCGTGCACAGTCTGGGACTGGCCATCAGGGCTCTGGCCCGTTCCAGAAGTGCATACAGAGAGAAGGAGAGTGGGGAGGGGAGTCCCAAGGGGGAGAAAGGCAGAGCACCAGGAGAGGGCATAAAGCCCTGCTCTCCCAGGCCAGGCCAGCCCAGGGCTGTGAGTAAGCAGACTGCCCTGGCCCCCTGCCATGATGAGGAGTCACTCCAGAACCGACAGAATGCACATACCAGCAGGATGCTCCAGGTCTGTCACCACGAGGGGAGCAGGGAACGAGAGGACAGAGGCAGGAGGACACTCCGGAGTGCAGGGAAGGAGAAAGCTGAGAGAGCAGTTAGAGCAGGGCCTGCCCCACTGAGGGGCACAGTGGGGGACAGGAATGCTGAGGGAGCAGGAGCAGCCCCCATGGGTGGACAGGAACTGCCCAGATCTGGCCGGCAGCCCCTGGGCAGTGCTGACAGCTGTGTGGTGGAGGTGTGCCCCTGGGAAGCTGCCGAGTCAGGGACCTGTCTGCCAGACAGCAGCAATAAGGCAGAAATCTGCCCCTGGGAGGTGAGTGAAGGCACCCCTGAGCTCAAGGCATTAAGACAAGACCTACAGGACTCTCAGGACGAAAGGCGGAAGGCCCCAGAAAAATCCCAGCCCAAAGATGTGGCTGTTATTGCTCGGAAGAGACCAGAAAGGCTGGTGAGGGGGCAGGAGGCAGTGTGTCCCTGGGAGAAGGCTGGGCCAGAGGACCCTCTGGCCTCTGACAGAGCCATGGGCAGGCCTGGAACAGGGAGAAGTGTGGAGGCCAGGGAGGCAGAAAATGTGGGACCATCCCAGCAAACGCTGAAAACATTCTTCTGCAAAGACCAGAAATCAGGTGGAGACCTGGAGTTTCTTTGTCCGTGGGACAGGACAGATTTCCAGGGCTCCTCCATACTCTCCACTCAGGCCCTAGGAGCCGCTGGGTACCCAGGGCGGCTAAGCAGTAGTGTTGTGGAGGTGTGCCTGTGGGAAGCGGGGGACACCCGTGCTGACAAGAGAGCTGACATCTGTCCCTGGGAGCTGGGTGGCAAGGTGGCAGGGAAGGAAGCGTGTGATGGAGCAGGTGGAGAATCTCTCCAGGTGGCGGGATGTTCTGGAGAGCCCGCGGAACAGACTGGGAAAGCAGCACAGGAATTAAGTCAGCAGCAGGGGTCAGTGCGTCCCTGGGGGGACACAGCCCCTGGGCACCCCAGTCCACGTCCAGACAATGCCTCAGCCAGGACTGGTGGCCTCAGCCAGGGAGGGAGCAGGTCCACTCAGGGATGTCCGCAGGAAAATCTCAGGCCAGGGGTCACACCTGCCAGGGCAGAGATCTGTCCCTGGGAAGTAGGTGAAAGAACAAGAGAAGACCGGACATCTAGATGGGCGCCAGGAGAAGACTCTCAAGAGGGTCAGGAGAAAATGCCTGGAACACTAGGAATCAAAGATGCCACCACCGGGGAAAAGACAGAGGGACAGATCCAAAAGCAGGAAGCAGTCTGTCCTTGGGAAAGTGTGGACCCTGACAGCTTCTCCCCACCACGAGCTCAAGGCAGAGAGCACCCCAAGGTCAGTTTCAGGGCATGGGGCAGTGTGGGAAGCAAAACTGCCGAGATCTGTCCATGGGACATGGAGGAGACCCTGCCTGCTGAGAAAGCAGAGATCTGTCCTTGGGAGGCGGGCGCTGGAGCAGGGGAGGAGAGGGCTTTGGGAGGTGAGGCCATTACGAAGCTGCCAGGCCACACAGGAAAGGCTCCTGCAGAGCCTGGCCCCAGTGAGGTGGCTGTTACTGCCCCAAAGGAGCCGGAGCGGCCAGCACAGGAGCAGGAGGTGGGCTGTCCCCGGGAGCGCTTGGCTCCGGCGGGCTGCACTCCGCACTCAGACACTCTGGACACTGGCAGACCAAGAGCTGGGTTGCAGGAACTGGACTGCATGGGCTGCAGGCCAGCTGAGGTATGTCCCTGGGAAGTGGGGGAAGCGCCTACCAGTGAAAAGGCCCAGACCTGTCCCTGGGACATGAGCAAAGAGACTGCTGGGAGGGGACCAGAAGATGGTGTGGGGAGTGATTCAGCAGGGTGGAGGGAGAAAACTTTAGAAAAGGGGCGACTCACCTCCCTTGAAGACACATCAAAGTGGGACACAAAACAGAGCCAGGAGCAGGAAGCTGTTGGTCCCTGGGGGGAGGAACCCCATGCCAGGGCCCCCGAGGTTGCAGACTTGCCCAGCCTGAACAGCAGAGGGGACGAGGGGCCTTGTCTGGAAGTGAGTGATGAGGCATCCGAGGACGGGGACCCGAGACGTGACCCACAGACGAATGGAGGGACCCCAGAACATACCACACGAGAAAAAGCTCCTCCTGCAAAAGCTGGAGAAGTCATTGCAGAAGATGAGAAAGAAACCAGCAGCCAGTCACAGGTGCACAGCGTAGCACCCACAGGCTCTCTGTCCAGCCCCGACCTTCGGGGGCCCTGTCCAGGGGAGACTGGCCCTCAGCGACTGCCCGGCGCGGGCGGCAGGGTGGCCCAGGGGTGCGCAGTGGAGGTGCCTGTCCTGAATGCGCCTGCCCCTGACTGTGGTGCCAGAGCGGAGACCCCCCACTCAGACGAGACTGAGAGACTCCCTGGGAGAGGGGTGTCAACACACCACGGGGTGGGGGGCTCTCCAGAGAAGGGGAATGCCCCAGAAAAGCTAGGATCCAAAGTTGTGGCAGTTCAGGAGAAGCCAGAGAGGGCAGGTAGGAAGCAGGAGGCTGTGTGTCCCCAGGAGAGTAGGGATTGTCGGGGGCTGTCTCCACAAGCAGCCCCACAAGCCTGTGCCAGAAGCAGTTCTGAGGCAGCGGACAGTATGAGGGCCAGGGGAGTCCAAGTGTGTCCATGGGAGGTGGAAGAGGCTCCCTTTGTCAGAAAAGCAGAAATCTGCCTTTGGGGAGCGAGTGAAGGAGCAGAGACAGGGGGGCTGGAACAAGACCTGGACAGACAGTCCCAAGAGCAAGGAGGGAGGTGCCTTCAAAAGGCAGGATCTGGGGGTCTGGAGGATACTTTTCGAAAGAAGCGGCCCAAGTCAGCAGAGAGCAGGAGACAGTCTGTCCCTGTGGAGACACGGATGACTGGGGGTGGGGGAGGACTCTCCAGATACTGACCAACCTGAAGTCAGTCCCTGGGGAGCAAGCAGGCTGGGGAGCAAGATGGAAGAGCTGTGTCATGGGAAATCACAGATCCAGAAGGAAATGAAATAAAGCACACCATGGCAGACACCTGTCCTTGGGAGGGACTGGAACCTCCGCTGGACTCCGGTCTCCTGGCTTTAACAGCCACTCAGACAGAAGTATTTTCACCGACAGCAACTGAGAAACCACCATGATTTGTCCAACCATGGCACCAATCATGTCCACAGGCCTACGGGGAGCTTCTTTCTGGAAAGCAAAAGCCCCACCCAGAGGTGAGCAAGTCAGCAGGTACTCCTCTGGAAGTGGTTGAAGGATTCCAAGGGCCTTTGGCACTTTGCACAGGAACTAGCTTAGGCGCAGAGTCAAATCTCCAAGAAGCTGAGCCCAGAAGTCTTCCTCCAAACTGAAAGCCAAGAAGTTGCTTCTAAAGCCTATGTGACGACGCCCCCCACCAACAGTCTATCCTTGGCCCAGAGATGACAGCTCCATCAAGTGAAACATCAGGCAGCTAGATTTTAGGGGCCATGTCCTTTCTGAGTCCTAGGTGTTCCCCGAGTGGAATGAAGGCGCCCTGCCACGTCCCTCCCAAGGCCAGGAGTCAGCTCGTCCCAAAAACAAATTGTACAATAGGATGCAACTTGGGCCTGACAGGAAGTGCCACCTGTCTTAATTTCTGACTCTTCTTCCTGCTCCAGGGAACAAAGACCAGACCCCTGCTTCTTTTTTTTTTTTTTTAAGATTTATTTATTTATGCATACAGAACTGGGGTACAGACCAGAGGTGTGGGGCGATGAGAGGATTCACCAGAGACAGAGTGGGGAGCAGAACAGGCAGCTGGACAAAGTACACTGCTGAGGAGAGCAGCAGCTCGGGTAATAGGAGAGATCTGCTGCGTCAGGTGGATCACCTCGGGTGTCGAGGATAGAAGTAACACCGAAGCGAAGAGGCTACGGACAGCTTCGCCGTGCTGAGCTTTAACCCTCTGCGCCACCAGGGAGGGCCCAGACCCCTGCTTCTAACAAATCCTCCCCCTATAGCTAGAATAGTCAACACAAGCCATGTCTGCTGGACACTGGCTTGTAAACAGACGTCAGAGGTGAATGGAAGTCAGCAGTGCCTGGCCTGTGCTTTCTCCTAGGGAAGCTCCATCCTCCTTAAGCCTGCAGAGCTCTATTTTTAAAAAAAAACTAAACCACTTAAGGCCCTCCCTGGTGGCGCAGCGGGTTAAAGCACAGCACTGAGAATCTAAAGCCGCTTCCGCATGAGTTCGATTCCCGCCTGCCTCGGAGGTGACCACATGGCGTGGCAGACCTCTCCTGACCCGCCCGCTGCTCCCCTCAGCAGTGTACTTCGTCAGTCAGCCTGTTCTGTTCCCCACTCTGTCTCTGGTGAAGCCTCTCGCCACCCCTGAGCCTCTGGCCTGTACCCCAGTTCTGTATGCACAAATAAATAAATCTTAAAGAAAAAAAAAAAACCAGTTTAAAAAAAAAAAAAAAAAAAAAAACCCTTAAAAAACCCTTTGAATTCAAGCACAGATATAAATTGGGGGGGACCCAAAAAAGCTCAAAAAAGATGGCTAAATGTCCGAGTCTTCATTTTGAATTTAGAACTGAAGTTTCTGCTTTACCAGCCCTTGTACCTGGCCTGCTTGACTACAGTGACAGTCAGTAATATTTATATTCTCATCAACAGCTGGCACCTAAGGCAATCTTAGTGACAGAGAGCACAGGAAGAAAGCCAATGGCTCCAGGCGCTCTCCACGCTGGCCGTGGGGCGGGCGGTCTCCCTCCCAACGCCCCATCCCAGTTGAAGAAGTTCACTTCTGGGTAACTTGATGTTCTCCCCTTCTTCCTGCACTATCGCTTTGCGTCTCCAGAGTTCATCTCACTGGCTTATTCTCTGCCTCCTAGTCTGTTAGTGCCGCCATCAAAGGGATCCCTTTGTTGCCACTGCTGGTGGGACCAAGGGAATCTCTGGTTCTGATACAAGAACCAGCCCAGATCACTTACACAGTAACATTAATCCTCTTCCTGAGAAGCACAGATACACAGGAGTTATTTCAGCCAGCACCGTGATCAGCCCACAAACAGCGCTGGGTCAGGTTAGAGGCCTGGGGCCACGCTAGGGCAGTGCATGTCCACAAAGCCTTCTTTCTAAGGGAGCTCTGTCTCCTTAGCTCGGCTGTTTTCTCAAGTCCTGGTTAAGCAGCCCTAGATAAGAGTACTAGAATTAGATGATACTACCAGAGGGAAACAGAGGAGGAAAACATTGACCAAAAAGGTTCCCAGACTACCAGGGGTGAGGTGGAGGAAAGGGAAAGGCTAACCATGGCAGATCTGGGCAGGGGCACTAAAGAGGGCAGTGAGTCCACCCTTTTGCCATTCACAGGGAAGGAAAACACAAAAAGGATCAAATACCCAAAACACACATACACACACACATACAAAAGATTCTGCATGTAAATACCCTGGGTAGCACAGGACTTCAGAGAGAGGCAAACAGCTCCATTTCCACAAAGAGCAGGAGTGGAGTCGTAGGTTTTGAGGAACAGGTGGACAGATGCCGTCTAGGCCCTTCAACTTCCCCAGGCCCCACCTGGGCTTTCAGGCCACATTAACAGCTGTGTTGTTGCTCTCGGTCCAGCTACCCTGAGGCAATGCAGACGTGGTTAGGGGCACACCTCAGAACAACCGGTGGGGTCTGATCTAGGTAGGAACAGAAAAGTTGTCCCTATATTTACTGTAGTGAAGTTACAGGGAAAGAAATAAAACTTGCTTCTTCTTGGCCATTGTAGTTGATTTTAGCTTTTTCATTATGGTGATTTTCTTCAGTGTTACAGTAGCGAGGTACAGCAATGGCAAGGCC